AACTTATGTTTAACCTAATGAATAATGGAGGAGACAAAGTTCTCCTGAGTTATATACTGATTTAGTTAATTTCTGTCACACAATACCTTGTATTACAGGAGAGGATTAGTACCCTTCCTATTTAGAGTCACAGCATAAGCAAACAGTTTTTTAACAAGACATACCAAATCCCACCAGTTACAAGTTCATTCAGGCTTGTTCACTGGCTTTTAAGTGAAAAGAGAAAACCTCTACCACCCTCTGGTTTATCTTATCAAAGCCGTAATACTGCAGATTTCCTAGCAAAGGTTCAAACTGCAAGAACATCTTTCCAAAGGGAACAATATCAGTTCACAGCTCATATAACTACTTTGTATAGTGAATTTTTATTTCATTTTAAGGTGATTTTGAATATGCTACATTTTATTGTAGTGAATTTCTGAAAAATTTTATTTTTTAAATAATGAGCCAAGCCTTCTTTCTCAGCTATTATCAATCTGTTTACCTGTGAGGTTAAATGCAGCTTTAAGTACATAACAAATTTTAAATAATACTAGGCTTTTGCTACATATAATAGACAAAAACATACAGTAGTGTAAAACTTCGTTTAAAGTCTAACATAAAAGAAAAATTAAATACAAATCTTTAAAAATCTACCATTCTCATAATTGCTTAAGCTATATGTCCCACAATATTTAAACATAGAACACAAATTCAGAGTATTTGCCACTTCAAAATAGAGTGGAAAGCCACCAGTGGCCATTAAGCACCTCCCTCCAAATCTCTGCATCTCCTAAGTAATGTCCACTTTCTTTTCTCTCATGAGCTGGCCTACCAAAATCAATGAGGTGGTTTATATAGCCAGAGCATGAATCTATTCCATTGCTAAGTAGTGAGAACATATAGAAAATTAGAGGGAACTTGAAATGTGCCTTTATACTGTGTTTCTTTGTAAAAGAAATGTTTCTAGCACGCACAGACACAAAACTTGCTAAATGAGATTTACTGTAACAGTGTTTGCAGAGTAAAGAAAAAACAGGCTACCTCCTCTGTTTTCCAGAAGAATTAACCAATTATTCAGAAGAGCAGGGAGAGCAGAAGTTAGAAAAATTATGTCAGTTTTGCTATGATAAGAGCCTTTCCATGCAGCACAGAGCACAACTAATGTGTCACACACCAGCAGGTTGCCTGCTTATAGATAAGATTTACCTAATACACCTATGCTTAAGTCCTGATCTTAGAGCTCTGAAAGCCGCATAGACAGCCAGCTGCCCTCTGCTCTTGAGCTTCACTGACAGTCCTCCTTTCTGGGTACAGCAGCTCTAAGGAGCACTAGAGCAGAGGACAGAGAATTCTCCTTCCACCTTGACTCAATCTCCAGGCTACATTAGGAGCAGGTGCCAGAATACAGAACTGGAAAGAAATAAAAAGAAGTTTCCCACTGCAACCACTTTAGGCTTATCAGTACTGCTGGATAACCTCAGTGATATGAAGTAGTGAAGAAGACAGGTCATGAATGTAGAGGAACATGCATCACCTAATATGCTCTGGGAACAAAGACTGCACATTCCACTAATCTAACATGAAGTTACAGATGTTAAAACCAAATACCCATTCTCAAATATCAAGTATATCAATATGAATTGTTTTTCTCTTGAGTACTGGGAAAAGAAAAAAGGAAGAAGGAAATAATAATAAAAAAAAAGTTATTCTCTCACAGTTACGCTATCTTCCCTTGCCTTTCTGCTGTCAAAAAAGCTCTTCCTGCTCACTAGGAAGGAAGCTTTCACAGAAGGAACAAAATTGGGCAGTATATCCATGAACCTGCACAGAGCAGCTGCTATAAATTCTAATACTTTAAAATCCTAGTACTTTGAAACTCTCTAAAAAACACACGTTGCACTGAGAAAGGCTCAAAAAAAAAAAAAAGATTCTTTCACAGGAATGAAAGTGAGGGTACTGGAAGGGAAATTGGACTAGTAGAAAAGCACTGAAAATTAAGAGATTGTAACTTTCTTGCAGCATTTCCTGCATTACCCTACACTTTCTACAATGGGTAATCCAATTTAGACACTAGGTCTCATTGAGAAGAACAGTATCACAGAAGAACATAAGCACATGGCTAAAGAAAGCAGAAGACAGAAATTACAAGGATAAACACAAATTATTAACAAGTAGATAAATTCTGGTGAGAAACAAAGCAGAAACGTGGTACACTTTAGAAGAGCACAACACAATATACAGAATTATTGGGCCAGTAGAATACACGTTAAGAAGCTCAAAGGAACTATACATTAATCATCCAATACTGGCACTGATTTATCGTGCTTAGTGCTCAAAATTACATTTAGATAATCCTCAGGTCATCCAAAAATCCTACTGTTAAACATGAACACACCAGAAGACAACTGCTAAGCATGTAACAAACACCTTAAGAATAAATACACTGGTAACGGCCACACATGGAATACAAAGTGCAGTATCAATGGAAAAAAAATACCAACACCACCAAACCAGTGATTTGATTCCTGAATTTGCATTTTTGCAAAATAACTCTGTTTTAAGCAAAGCAGACTAAACCATGTTGTCTGCAATGTTACAGAATTGTGAAAAAAAAAAAAGGTCTCAATGCTTGTATAAAGATACTTAGAAAACAGTATTAAAAGCAGCCTAATTTTGACTACTTGACATTAGTAAGTCATATGGCAATAACCTTTTGAAGCAATAACCTCACCTCCTGAAATAGTTCGATAATATAGTAAAGAACAAACTACCCTGTTAAAAATTATTTAGATTCACAGGTCATGGTGGCAGTCACCGTACAGCATACCTATATACACTAAATTGTGGCAATTGTTTTAAACAAATTACAAATTACTCTTAGGGAGAAACTGCAGAGCAAGAGCAGGCCCATAACAAAATGTGAAGGATACTTAATACAAATAAAGAGCATAAGCTGTGACTCTTCAAGAAACACAACAGACCAAGGAAGGAACCAACAGGTAAAACAGTATCAGAAAAAAACCTGAGCAGATTAATGCAGAAATCTAAAGACTGTCAAGATCTATGAGGCAGTAGGAACCAGAAATACTTGAAAACTGTGAATTTATGTATTGCATTACCAGTGGAATACTGATCCTTCCCAGGGAAAGATTGAAAGTGCAAGGTGGAAAGCAGCTATTACAGATGTTAGTGCTTTCCAGTTTGAATCAGCAACCATTTCCATATAATAATGATAAACCGGTTATGGACACCTTCATCACCTTGCAAGTGCCACGGCAGATTCTGAAATATTTTCTTAAAAAGATTGAATCAGAAATTGGGGTGGGTGGGATGAGGGTTTGGCTTGTCTGATTTTGGTTTTCATAAAGAAAAAAAGCAGCCAAAAGTCCAATCAGATCCTTCTCATGCTAGAACTGAATGACACAGGCTCCAGATTAAAAGAAACTTGCTCCACAGTTACAGACCACACAATGGAAAAAGCCTCCTCTTTTGCACTTAAGACGGCACACAGGAGTCATCAAGTTCTGAAGCCGAAGAGTCAATGGATCTGTTGCAGCATCAAAGGAATGGACTAGGAGGTAAAATGTATCAGTGGCAAGGCCTGGTCTTTTTCTGACAGACTTATTTTCCCTATTACAGACACTCACATATCTCTGTATATCTTGGAAGCAGGTTTCTACACACAGTAACTGACCTGGCAAATGAACCCAAATTCTAATCTTTCAAGACAGCTTTATAAGGAGACTAGAAAAAGAGACTAAGCACATGTGTGTGCATGCACACACTCACACATACATATACACAAATTCTCATTTCATTAGTACTAAAGTGATAAAGCCAAATCTAAGCTCCTTAGACATAGGCTGTCACAGCAAGAGTTCTTCCAAGTTGTAGAAGTACTGGACTCCATGAACCCACTGACCCAACTACATTGCTTTACCATCATTTCTTCTCTAGAACAGCTTGATCTTTAACTACATTACAGACTGTCCTGAAAAGAAGGAGATTTCACTGGACAATTTAAAAGCCTAAGTTCACAATGGCTTTTCATCCACTTACTGCAAGTTACACATGGCTTCAGTTTCCTCAGCCACACCTGTGGTAAGAATAGTAATGCTCACTCAGGAATCATGGGAAAGAATTTCTGGTTTACTTATTTTCTCTCTCTCTCCAAAGTAAGCACCACCCTTTAAAAAATACTTTTCTTATTTCTGTTATTTTAAAGACAGCACCACTCCTTTCTCCATAGAACCCAATCTGGTTTCTCACCCAAATCTGACCAAAGAGAATCTGAACAAATCTGAACAAAGAGAACCTTGTAACATGTCCTCTCTAACTCTGCTGCGGTTGGTAGTAAGCAAATTCTGGCAATGAAGATCAGTGCAGAGAGCACATTCTGTCATGCACATCTTCTGATAGTAGCCTATGGTCATTTGCAAATGTCTTTGACAATTCTGAACGCAGCTCTGGAGAGGAAGTGGATGAACGCTCACATATAAGATGACCTCTTTTCCACATTTCAACTAGAGAGGAGCACCATGTAAAGAATTATGGGTCTGGAAAGCCCTTCTTCCCAAGACACGGGGCAACAGTATGACAGGCTGGATTACAACCTTGTCTCAGCCATAGAAGAATGGCCTAAACTTTAAGGCTTCGCTGATGTAAGATCTACTTGGTGTCCATAATGCCTTATGAAGGGATCTGAGAGCTTTTATTTGGACATGTGGCAGAAGATGGGAAAACGTTCTTTATTTTGTTCCAGCTTCACAGGCCACAGGTGATAAGGACCGTCCTCCCAGCAGCAGTTTCAGTGAGCTGCAGCTTGCCGTCGATGACCGTGTGCGTGTCCAAGTGATTTTGTACCGTCTGGGGCCTGGAACTGGGGGCACCTGCTGGAGCTGGCGGAGCTACCCCTGCGGAGCCCTTGCCTGCCCGCAGCGAGCTCTCAGGCCGGGACCCGGAGCCCGAGCGGCCCGCCCCGCGCTGGGCAGCGGCCCCGGAGAGCAGGAAGCACTTACCTAGGGAACTTCTCCTTCAGCTTCCTCAGGCTCTGCCGGGTGGGCTGCACGTGCCCCAGGAACTGCGCTATTTCATCGTACTGAGCTTTGGTCAGCTTCATGCTTCGCGCCGCCCAGCCTCAGGGCGCCGGGAGGAACGAACGGAACGAACTGCGCCGCTGCAGCCGCCGGCACCGCGAAGCAGACGGCCAGTGACAAAAGGGTGAGGGGTCACGGTTACCCCAGGGAGGCCTTTGCTGCAAGCCCGGGGCCGAAGCACCCGGAGGCAGCGGCAGCCGCTGTTTCCCGGAGCTCCGCCCCGCGGCTCGGCCGGAGGGGGGGCGGGGAAAGCCGCCATCCCGCGCTGTTCGGGTCTGCGCAGCCGCTCAGGCGGGAGCGGGGAAGGTGGTATCGCCGTCCGCGGAAATGGCGTTTCTTTGGGGCAGGGATAGGTGTTCTCTGCGCGAAACGCGGGGATTGCCTCGCCTGTGGCGGAGGAGGATCCTGGTGCCTCATGGCCGGTGTCATGCGCGTCTTTGCGCACTACGAGCCGTTCCTTGGGTTGACGCTGCGAAGGCGGAAGGCGCCGGGAAGGCACAGGGCATTGCTGGTCCGGGCTGCCGTGGGCGGTGGGCACCCGCTGCGGCTGCCCGGGGTAGGGGATGTAAGCCTCGCCGTGTTGCAGTTTTAGAGTATAATTTTCAAGGCCGTTTCCAGAAGTCAGTTGGAAATGACTTTTGTTGTTGTTGTTGTTTTTTTTTTGTTTGTTTCCCCGGTTTAAAGAGCAAATAACTGGTGAAATAGTGGGGTTGGGGCTGCAGATCCCGACATGGCCCGAGCAGTCTGTAGCCTTTCACATGTACCCAAGAGTGGCTCCAGTGCAGTTTAAAGAAAAAAACGTACAATTTTGTGTTTGGATTCACTTCAAAGTTGATAGCAAATGATATTATTAAATACTGTTAAAAGTATCAGTAAGTATGCTGCAAGCCTTAGTTTCTGTTCCATGTTTTTACAGGGGTATGCTGCTTTATAAACAACATATAAGAACTAGAGGCTATAAAGAAAATTAACCATGTGTTTTCTGAGAAATACTAATATTCCCTTTAATTTCAGTTTAATCTCATTCATGAACTGTGTACAGCTAGTGGAGATTAGAGCTTTATGGCACTTAGTCCATGAAAATTGCTTCAAGTCTTAAGAAATGGTTTGTGATTTTTTTATTTTTATTTATATAGATACTAGGTTTTGTTCACTTGGTTTCTCTTGAAAGCTTTAGGATCACATTTTAAGTGTTTGGGGGTTTGTTTGTTTAAATCTATCCAGAAACTACAAAGTTTTTGCAAAAGTAAAAACAAATAGCATGGGTATGTCAGCCGAGTTAGTCATTTAGGAGTGAGACTGGGTTTTAATAGATTGACAGTCCCCAGTGAGCCCTTTGTCACTTGGAGGATTTTTGTTTGGAACCAGGAGCCTTTCTGGGAACAGCTGTTTCTAGTACTATGGCCTAAATATAAATGTTTGAAACTCATTAGTTGTTCCACAGTCAAGGAAAATCCAGTGAAGGTAAGCCAAATGATAGATTCCATTCCTCACTCAGAGACAAAAAAAAAAAAAAAAAGCCAACCACATGAACCTGAAAAAAGAGCATTATTTTGAAGGAAAGCATTATTTAATGTAAAGGCTATTGTCTTTAGCTCTATCACATAGTATCCTTGGTAGCAGGAGAGAATGTGTTTGGGAAGGAAGGATGTGTTTCTTTCAATCCGGTATCTGCTTTAAAGGGTATAATTTTCTTGGGCCGTAGAAAGGGTCATGTTCCTCTACCTTTCCAAAGATGAGAATTATGACTTTGACTTCTGAAATAGATCTAAAAAAAAAAATAAAATTACATGCTTCTTTACTACCACTACTACTGCTCCTTTAGAAAAAATCAATATTGCTTCTTAGGGGAAAACAAAAAAAGTGACAAACAGCGGTTTGCTGACTTTGCTGTGTCATAATTTCCAGAGAAAGTGTTTTTTTTTTTTTTTTTTAGTAAATCATAATGCTCATATCTATAATCTCTATCTCTGTTCACTTCATTTACTAATATATTTCTTGATTTTTTTTTAATTTTTTTTATTTATAGATCAAATGACACTTCCATCTACACTGCACAGAAATGAAACAGATTACAAGAACTGCAGGATGAAGTTACCAGCGTATGGACCAGACTGCAAACATCTGATGTATGTATGTCCTAGGTTTAGCAGTAGCAGTCAGTTTTTCTCCTTCTTGGTAGCTGGTGCAGCGTTGTGTTTTGACTTTCAGCCTGGGAACAGAGCTGATAACACTGATGTTTTAGTCTGACCAAGGACTTTGTGAGGCTCATGCTCTGCCAGGGAGGAGGGAAGCTGGGAGGAAGCAGAGACAGGACACCTGACCCAAGCTAGCCAAAGAGGTATTCCATACCACTTTGCCAGGGATGTAACGGAGAGTTACGTTGAAGGGCTGGGACTGCAGGGTTGGATGAGGTATCGGTCGGTGCTTGGTCGGGTTGGGGGGTGGTGCGAGTTACAGGTCGGCGGGTGCTGAGATGTATTCTCTTCCCTTGTTATTTCCTTTGTAGGAAATGCTACCACCATTGGTGGTAGCAGCAGTGGTTTGTGTTACACCTTAGTTACTAAACTGTTCTTATCTCAACCTGTGGGAGTTGCATTCTTTTTGATTCTGCTCTCCATCCCTCCCAGAGTACGGGGAGGGCAAGAAGGGGAGGAGTGAGTGAACAAGCTGCCTGACTGGTTTTAAACCACAACAATGTATTATGTGTATATTGAATATAAATTTTGTAGACTGTCCTACTGGAACAAGGTTTTGTAGATTTCCAGGTTATTTAGGAAAAAAAAAAGTAAATAACCTTCTAGCATGAAGGTTCACTGAAATGAAGGGGAGCTGACACCATGCTGTCATGAGGTAACGGCCTTCAGAGATGTGAACTGCTGTTTTTTTTTTTTTGTCACAAAGAAGCATTTTGCATGATGAAACATAAAACAGATGAGAACTTCTCTATGCAAAGTATAAGCCACTCTGCCTAAATTAGTTAATACAAAACTTTTCCAAGAAAATGCTCAAAAGCACAGTGAGAAAAAAATGAGATACTTCTAGGAGAAAGAGTTCATTAAATACTTTTTTTTCCCCCAGAAATCAAACTGCCATTACAATCTTACTATATAGAACATCAGACCCTGTGTAATTAAGCTGTGTATGTGTATTGTAAGATGTTGCGGTAGTAAGTTCAGTAAATAACTAATTAAATACATCAGAAAATACCCACAAAAGTGTGAAGATCTTCAATTTCCTTTGGCTCAGGAAGTTTCAGAGCTGCAAATGGTTGCATGCTGGGGGAGCCTTCTCAGGAAGTAGCTATGTGCTTGCGTTCTACTTACATTCATTGGTATCTGCCTGCGGCAGCTACTCTTCATTTTTCCTTGGGGTTAGGTTCTAGTCCATCAATTATATAAACTAAGTTTCCTTCCAAGAAGGAAGAGGGCTAAAGAGAAAGAAACTAGGAAAAAGAAGTGATTGGGAATGAGAAATGAAGGGGGGGGGAAAGGAAGAGCACATGTAAGCTGTAGAGGGGAAATAAAGGCAGGGAGACAGAAAAACACCTAGTAGAAGACTTCCAGTAATGACCATCATTCCTTGCAGGTAGTTTCGCCACAGTTGGTGTAGGACAGTAGTTAACGAACCCTTGGTCTGTTTTTTTTGTTGTGTTAGTTGGTAGTTTAACTGTGCCATTACTAGATGTCTCACATTACCTTAAGAAGGTGATTGCATAGTGTGATTTAAGCCAAGTTTAGAGTTAAAATATCATTCATTATTCTCCACAGAAGAGTAGGTAATTATAGTATGATATTATGAGGAATCAATTCATGGACAAAGTGCTAATTTTGATTTGATTTTTATGACCTTAACAGCTGCTGTTTTATTTTACCACCCTGTTTCTTCATAGACACAATCTTTGATCAGTGTTGCTTTCTGTAACAAAATTAATGCAAAGACTGCCAGCAGTCATATATGTGTTCTAATCTGTTGATTTAGACGCTTGTATGGAGAACTTTTTTTTTGGTGAAACTCAGCTCTTCTTATTTGGCATTTGTAGCACATGTGTCTGTAACAGGTCTAATAAACACCTCCACAGGGTACAGTAGTTACCTCATAAACAAGGAGAACCCTCAATTTATGATCTAATTTATATCCATAGGTTTTAATGTACTGTCTGAAAGAGATTGTATTATGAAACAAACTACGATATCTCCATATGTATTAAACAAATAAAAAATGGAACAATTGGTCTGCATCACTGTTAGACATTAACTGTTTTGCTAATTCACATGATAATAAGTCACCATGAGTTTCTTTTTTTTTCCCTGAAAGTGTTCATGGGATTGCTCGATACCACAAAAGTGTGAAGAACAAGACAGCAATAGAATGATTATACATACCAGAATACCAATTAAAGAAGTCAGGCAGGCATAGTTTTCCTTCCGTGTCTTCAGATTTTTTTCCTCGTAATTGCAGAAGTCATTGAGGCAAATTAATCTAGTTTTCTGTACTGTTAGTGTACCCAATATATCTTTCTTTAAAATACTTATTTGCTTGTTGAAATAATTAAAAAAAAAAAAGTCTGCATTCACAGTGTTTTGAAAACACTGCTTTATATGCGCAGAGCCTGGTCTGTGGGCAATTGTAAGTCCATCAATTTTAATGGACTTCTGCCACTTTTATGGTGCTAAGCTGCATGTTTATGTATTTTCTGTAACAAGCTCTAAAAGATTTTTGAAAATGATGTTATTTAAAAATCAATTTCTATGACTAAGATGGTAAGACATGCCCTAAGTGTTCTGACCCTGCCGCTTGATTCCACTGTAATTTCACATGATGAAATTTCTGGCGTTTGAATTTGCCTTTTTAAGCTTTCAGTAGTCAGATACAGAAACCTATATGAAAATACCTTTCTGGTTTCAAATTCAATTATTTAAAGTTAATTTCCCCTTTTTGTCTCTGTGTGTTAAAGTACCATTAATTACTGCTTTTTCCCTGAGAGATTTTGGCTTTATTCATTGTACAGAGAAAACCCTGCAGTTGTGTGATGAATTACGTTGTTTTCTGTAGGACCTTTGCCTCATTTGAAATATGTACTGAGTGAAGGAAGCAGGAAGTGTAGACAGAAAATTGAAGTGTAAAGATAATATAACTGCTGCCCAGGAAATACTGATTCTCTCCTTGGTTCTGTTACAGACTTCTTGTGTAAACTCAGACATCATTTGATTGAATTTTCTTTCTATGTGGCTTTTTTTTTGACACAACATGCATGTAACTCTGTGCCAGGCATCTAATTTAATTACGTAGGTGCCATAAGCTGCTGGCTAAAGAGGTCATCCCAATCTGCTTTGGCCAGTTTCAGAGTAATATGGCTGATTGTATGCATGCATGGCCAGGCAGATCAGCTGATCCACCTGATAACTTGTCATGCAAAACTCCTTTCTCCCCGCACCAGTATTATTTTTCAGGTAAGTCAACTTGTGACTCCAGCTCACTGAACAGCCTTATGAATGTTGGTGCCAGCGCATGGGAGGAAATAGGTATGCATAGCCAGAGACAGCAGGGCTACCTCTTTCTGTCAGTGGTAACAGAGCCTTGGAGAATTAACCTCACAAATTAGGCATCTAAATTAGGTGCCAATCAGTAAGCAGTATGATTATCCTGAATATGTTTTGCCAAGGATTTATGTTTGAGAGCCTCACAGCACTAAATGGTAAGCTTTGTTAATAGAACTGAATTTAATGGAAGTTTTACCTTTGATGTACAGAGTACTGCTAAACACAGTACTCTGAAAAATCGGGTCGTAGGCATATTACACTGGAGAGCCCAAAGCAGTGGACAGTTCAAGTCTAAATCTTTCAAACTTAATTTCTTTCATACATACATCTGAATGGAAAAAAATATATATACACACGTACACAAACGTATTCAAAAATAGACACGAGAGAGCTTTTGAAATATATTTGCTAATATGTATCTTCATGCTAGTGCTGATGCAATAAGCTGCTATGGTGATAAGATTATTCTTGGTATGTATGACATGGACAGCATGTAGTAAAGAATAAATGAAGCTAAATTTTGAATTTAAAGTTTAAAATGTAGTACTGAAGGGGTGTGAAATTTTCTATGCAAGTGAGGCAAAGGTGGGAAGATCAGAAATTTTGAAAACTGTTTTGTAATACAGGTAAACAGAAGGACTGAATCAAGGTTGTACAACAAAATGGAACTCTTAAGCATGTAACAATTTTGGGGAAATTTGAATTATTTAATTTTTTTTTTTTTAGTAAAATTTCAATTGTCACCTTTTATTCAGGGATTTAAACTGAATAGCTGAGATGTCTCTCACTTTTTCTTCTAAAATGCATAGTACTTTATTGCCCAAGGATTCTCACCTTTCATTACATACTGAGTATATTGAGTATTTTCACCATTAAAGAGTTGTAATATTCTTTGAATGATACCACAGAATCATAAAGTGTGTAATGCAGGTAACCTCAAAAGATTATGTAGTCAACCAGATCTTTGACTGATCTGGTATCAAGTATACAGTATCAAGTACTTCACTATCTCATACCTAAGTATTTCTAATTTGTCAGTGTACACTTCCATATTGAGGTTTTCATAGTCTCCATTGGTAACATGTTCCTGTATTTTACTTTGCTTGTATTTGGAAGGCTTGTTTCTAGTATTTAATTCCAAGACTCCTGCAAATAAAACAACTTGCTTTCCTCTGTATACTTTGAAGAAAGGGGAGAATAGTAAATCACTGTCATTTTTACTTGTTTCAGGATCATTACAGTGCTGATCCACTACTGTTTTTGTTTAGTAGTGTAAGCAAGCCCAGTTCTTTCAGTCTTTCTTGTAAGTCATTTTTCTGAAAGGGTTGTAATTTTTTTGTTTTTCTGTCTATACTTTGCAATATCTTAAGAGATTTTGCAACACTGCTTCAGCTGAGGCTTTTCATTTTGCTGAGTATATAAAACCTCATATTTAAGCAAGATTCATGTGTACTGTTTCTCAAATTAACCACTGAAAAAATTTATGCTCTTCAGTTATGCTAGCTCATAGAAGCAGCACCATTAAGGGAAAGTAAAGTATGCATAACACAATGGACACACTGATGTACCTTACAGTTTACAAATTA